CCAAAGAGAGGATGCAGGCAGGGCAAAGTGGTGCAGTTTCCTCTTACCCCTTCAATCAGAAGCAGGCTGGTTCAAAGGGGAGCACAACCACAGGGCAGGGATCAGGGTAAAGTGAGGGTGACCGGGTTGGACAAGTACAGGGTAAGGTTCTGTTTTACTTAAAATGTCATCATTTTGTCCGCCACGGATTTCTTATTTTACATTAATTTTGACTTTTTAGGATATTGCATTACCACGCTTTTTGGCACCCACTTAAATTTTGCATGTGAGGTGAATGCTTCACTTCCTCACCTTGATCAAGCAGTGCCTGAGCTCTGCATTCCTGTAGCCCTGTGGAGCCGAACTAGAGCACAGCCTCTCCCTTTAACCCACCTTAGCTCTGAGGGGCCACGGAAGGCTCCTAGAAGACCTAGGTTCTCCTTGCTTTCAAAAATGAAACTCAAGGGTACAGAAAGCTATCTTTGTCTCACAAGGGACCAAGGGGAGTGTTAGGAAACAGGTATCAGAACTGACACTGGGACTTGGAGCTATGCTCTCTTCCAGTGCTGCTGCTGCTGCTTCTTCTTCTTCTTCTTCTTCTCCTTTTTCTTCTTCTTCTTCTTATTATTATTATTATTGACAGGAATCGTAATAATCAAAGGAACTAATGCCCTGAACGTGGATTTAGTGGGAGATTACGAGGAGTCAGAATAACTCATTCACCCAGAAAGTATGGAAAACTACTCCAAAGCACGCTAAGCTAAATAATGAGAGGTTTGATGCTCATACATTGTAAATCTGACATAGAGCTCTTTTAAATAGCAAAAAAGGCAGGATTACGTGTGGCTGAGCTAAAGCAATACCAAGGGTGCTTTTCAATTCTTGAAAAGAGCAAAATAAGACTTTCCAGTCTTACTGCTGAACTTTCCATCAGACTTGCTGGTATCCATCTCCTTGTCTTAGACAGGCTTACAGTCCGCAGGCAGGGGCGGACGCTGCCTTCCTCCACAAAGAACACTGAGACCCTGCCTGCCTTCTCTCCATTTATGTCTGACCTCAGTAGAGTGGAGAAGCGGATTAAGGCTCACTGAGTAACTGCTGGATGTTGATGCTTTCAGAAATGTTATTTTCCTTAACGCCCCAGCAGCCCTGTAAAGGGAGAGACATTCTCACAGGGAGGATCAGGAGAGTGAGAAGAAGCTTTAGTTCTAGCAGTTGTTACAGCTAGAACTGTGGGTCCCTCAGTGTCACCCCGTTTTTTTTTTGTTGTTGTTGTTGTTTTTGTTTTTTGGAGGAACAGGTAAGACTAGATGGAATGTGACTGTCTTCCCTTGTAGCAAGTAGACTCATCATAGGTTTGTTTTGAAAGGTGAGATACCGGGCCTTCCACTCCGTCGTCCTCCTTGGAAGGAAATGTTGGACACCGCAGTACTTTTTGCAAACTGGGAGCTAATGCTACCATCAGTAAAAGCTCTCTAAAGGAGAGAAGAGAAAGTTAGGGACATCGGCCTAGTAAAATTATTTTGAAATTAGAGTGACATTAGAGTGTTGGTTTTTAGGCATTCGTATGGGTATATGTCTATTTTATGTGTATCTATCGTAGGTTCAGTGGGGGAAAAATACCTAAATATATATTTAATTCCTTAGGATCCCAAAGCATTTTGAGGATTTAAATTGATAAGCCAACCTCAAAGGGACTGATTCTTGCAACTAAAACACAGACACCTCTGGGGTGAAATGTGGCAACAGTTTGACAGGCATAGCAGTAGCTTAGGCCAGAAAGGATTTATCCAATTAAAATTATGGGATGAATTTTGGCTGGCAGAATGTAATTACCAGCCTTGGAATGAATCCAGGATCCTGAGGTTAACACCCCTCCTCTTGCCAACAACCCTCCTACCTGCCAACACTCCGAGATGGAGAAGGCTGGATCTGACACAATCGCACATAATACTGTTGTGACATCTAAGTACAATGATGATGATGTGAGAAGCATCATGAACCTGATTTTTTTTAACACTCATTATGTTACTTATTTTTATGCCACATTAGGCTAGAAACCAAATGTCCACATAAATGTTAATTTCCTCAAATCTGTGTTTAAAAAGTATAATTAGAAAATTAAAAAAATAGATCTAAAAATTAATTTATTCCGTCAAAGTGGTTATTTAGTGATTATTTCACTCCAGGAACGAAATTGGATCAAAATGGTGACATTTAATCCCTGCTATCTATGTGTTTCAAAAAATCAGGTTTTTTGTAGGAGAAATGTGTTCTCAAGGTTCACTGGCCTAGGGAAAAAAGGGAGACGCTTAAATGCCTGGTTCACATGGCTTGTCACTCTGGAGTTACGGGGCGGGCAGGTGCTGGTACTGCTTCGCCCTGGGGTGGGCCCAGCCCTCCGCGCCGCGCGGCCCGCAGTGCGGGAAGTGCCCGGAGACCACGGGGAGCGGCTGGTGCGCGCGGAGCCCCCCGCCGGGCCGGCTCTGCCGGGACCCGCCTCGTCCTTCCATCCTAAAAAGGCGGCGTGTACAAAAGACCCTGGTGGGGACTCCCACGCGAAGCCAGAGGGGGCGCAAAGGCGACTCCAGGCAAGACGTGCAAGGGCCCGGCGGCCGGCTCCTCGGGAGGGGGCTGCGGAGAGCGCTCGGGGCGGGCGCGGGGGCGGCGCGGGGGCGGGGCCGGCGGCGGGGCTGCGCGCACACCCGGGGCCGCGCGCGCGGGTCGGGCCCTCCGCGGGCGGCGCTGCGGGCGCTGCCTCCCGAGCCGAGCCGGCCTGCCAGTCCCCCCGCCCCCGGCTCCAGATGCTGCTCGCGGCGGGGCACTGCCCCGAGGCCCGCGCCCCGTCCCTCGCGTTAGCCTTCCCAGGGCGGGTGCCCCGCAGCACGCGACCCCGCCAAACCCCCTCGCGCCCCCGCGCGTCCCCGCTGAGGCTCCGCGCGCCCCCGCCGAGGGATCCCCCGTGCCTCCCAGCTTCCGCGCGCCCCCGCCCCCCCGCCAAGCCTCTGCGCGCCCCACCTACCCCCCAGCCTCCCCGCGCCCCCGCCGAGCCTCCGTGCGCACCCCCCGAGCCCCCTCCGCGCCCCGCCGAGGCCCACCTCCCCCCGCGCCCCCGCCGAGCCCCCCTCCCCCGCGCGCCCCCGCCGTGCCCCCCTCCCCCGCGCGCTCCCGCCGAGCCCCCCTCCCCCGCCGAGCCCCCGCGCGGCCCCGCCGAGCCTCCTGGCGGCCCCGCGAGCGCGGAGGGCGGCGCGTGCGCAGGGGCGGGTCGGGCGGGCTCCCGGTTCGGGGCCGCGGGGTCGAGGGGTCGAGCGCTGACTGGGGGCTGCGCGGCCGGCCGGGGCGCGTCCTCGGAAACCGCGGGGCGCTGGCGCGGTTGCTCGGCGGGGCTGTGAGAGCGGAGAGCGGAGAAACCCCGACTCCGCTGAGCAGCCTGACTGCGCTCCGCTTTCGCGGTGAAGGTAGATTTCCCCAACACCATCTTTGTGTGATTTAAGTGTCCACAGGGAATCGAAATGTGGAATGAGAGGATGAAACTAATCCTTTCTTTTGCACTGTTAGGGGTTGCCATAAACACCATTTGTTACAAAGCATAATTATGTTGGGAAAGTGCCTGATGAGACAATTAAGCTACATAAACACACTGAAAACAAATGAAAGCCAGAAGACGCCCACACCCCTTGTGTAAAGCAATTTTTTGTTTACGTAGAGACGAGAGGGGTCTGAGCTGCTGCTCTATTGCAACAATGTTATTAATGTCTGCAAAAACCTAATGACGGTATTTTGATGAATTTGGTCATGAGGTGATGGTCGCAAGATGAAGAGTCGTGGCCATCAACTCAAACCTGGACCAGCCGTGGAGCCCTGCGTCCCCTCTTAGGTGAGGACGGTTAGGCCAATGGACAGTCCTAGAACAGGAGCCAAAGCCAAAGGATTTAAGCCCCGGCGGTACTGCTATTTGTACCAGGGCACAATTGAGCCTAAACCCTAAAGCTTAACATGAGTCTCAAACTCGTACACCATGCACTGGGGTGTTCCCCACCCTGAGAACGTTACCTGATACAAAATAACCCTTATGAAATAATTTGTTGCCTGAATTCGTGAGGGCCACATTTATTTTTAGTTAGGATATTTAAAAGAGACCAAAAGAGACCAAAATATGGCCTGATTTTGAAAAGGGGAATTTTTCTTCGTTATTTTCAGATATTTAAATTTCTTTAGTTCATAATATTTGAGACATGAAGAGATAACGAGTTGAAAAATGCCACTGTAGAGTACCAAAAAGAACCAAAGCAACCTCCAAAACTTATGTGATTAATCCACTTTCAACTAAAGGACATCAGTCACTTTTTTGGCTCTACTGATTCACATAGACTATTATGTCAGATTTCAATTCAAGGAAGAGAGTCCTGTGAAAAGATTTTAAACTGAAAAGGGAATTTTGGAGATTAAAGTATGAGAGGAATTTAGTTAGTTTTCACTTACAGCACCCAGATGAGTCCCTTTTATTTGTTCATATATTGTCTATTACATGGCCCATACAGAGAACTTATCTTTTTGCCAGAAAAGTAGTTTTTATAAGAATCTTCATTTCCATAGTAAGTCATTTAACAAGAAGATCATGCTTATTTTATTTAAGTAGAATAGACGTTGAAAACAGGGATAATCTAAGGAACATGATGTTTAAAAGGAAATAACATAAAAAAGGAAATAACATACTTTAATAAATATATGCATTTACATGACAATTTAGGCTGACAAACTTTCCTTATATTTTCTAGTATTGTAACTATGTTCGCATGTTTATATGTGCATGACCACAAAGATTTGACTTCCCAGTTGACTCACTCTGAGGATTTTATCTTTTAGATGTTCTCCAGGAATGACATGGTGAATTGTTCATATTATGACTGCCTGGTTTCTAAAAAATATCTACTTTTTTATGGTTGATGAACATGAAAATATGAATGAGACATAGAGACCAAAATGAACCATGATTTTTCTCCTTTTCTAGAAAAATCACCATGTCTTCTTCTAGACTGGGGCTCCGTGTGGCTTCTTGTTTACTAAATATTTCAGAAGCCAAAAGAAAATCCATGGTTGAGAACGTAGCAAAAACACCTCTTCTTGAAAAATAATGGTAGGAACAACAGACAATTGAAGCAAATATGGAGTGTTTTGATACAATAATTTTTGTATTGTGCAGATAGTGCTGTAGAACACTCTTTCTTCTTCTTAGACTTTCCTCCTTGTTCTTGTGCAGCTTGTTACAGCTTCTACAGGACTCCAGGATGCAAGATAGATCTCTTATGTGCACATGTGCTCTTTCTGAAAGCCCACAGAAGCTCAGCAATGCACTTATTCACATTGGAGGGTGAGTGTCTGAGATGAGCATTGGTTCAGGATTTCAGGCTCCTGAGGAGGATATATTTACATAAAGGTTTAATGTTTCCCTCATGGGCCATTTATTTGATCATTAATAGAATGAGAATAATTGTACATTATGCCTTTTATTCAGCAGGCTAAATAAAAAATAGACTTGTCAAATACCAGCTACTTTTCAAAGCTCTCCTGCCAGCAAAGCGCATGCCTTCGTTACAACATTATTTCTACTCCATTTTTTCCCATATAAAAACTCTTAGGCAATTGCACTTAAGTGATATGTGTAAGATCACTCAGTAATTCAGAAGCCTGGGACTCAAGCCTCCTTACTCCCTAGGCCAGTATTTCCAATGAGAGATACTACTCTTTATTTTACCCTTGTAAAAAGGTTCATGTGATGACACACAGTTCTAGATACCAGTTGTTTTGCTTTCACACACATACACACACACACAACGCAGTATATTCAGACTTCGAATCATTTTTTTTAAAGATTTTATTTATTTATTCGTGAGAGACATACAGAGAGAGAGAGAGGCAGAGACACAGGCAGAGGGAGAAGCAGGCTCCATGCAGGGAGCCTGATGTAGGACTCGATCCCGGGTCTCCAGGATCATGCCCAGGGCTGAAGGCGGCACTAAACCACTGAGCCACCTGGGCTGCCCCAGACTTCGAATCATTTAAATAGAATTGCTTTGTTATTAAATCAGCTTTTTGTCAACAGGTGAGCATTAAGGTCATAATCCTGAAGCATTCCAGTGTATTTTAATTTCTGAGTCATTTTTGATTTGGTGACTACTTTTCATGAGAAAGAAGTGTTTTCCCTTAACCCACTTGTAATGATGGACACATTTAAGTTACTGTCTTACAAACTGCAGGAGCTGGAAATGTCTAAGAAAATTCCTGATAATTGCTGATAAGAAAACTCCTCTGGAGTCAGTGTGCAGCTGTGCTTTTGCATTCTCTTTGTGGGAAGAGCCAGCTTGGGCCTCTCATTGTCAGACACAGTACCTCTAATGGGATTGGGTTACCTGTCTCTGTGATTAAATGAATGTGCAGAGACATTTGTGGAAGCTGTATACTGATGGACACCTGGGTCTTAACTCACAGTTTTTATCAGCTTATTAGTGGCAGCAGCTCAAGTGGAATTATAGCTATTATACTCCATTACAAATACCAAACAATTTACTTCTGCTGAGATTCATACTGACGGTTCCTTCTGCCAGCAGTAATTTTTTCCTATAAGCATGCTTAAGAAATTGCAGGAAAGAGTGTTTCATTCTTTTAGCATTTGATTCAATTGTATCATATGAAACTGAGAATAAAAAGCTTTTAAGAAGAAAATTTAGGATAAAAAAAAATCATCTCTTTTCTTCCAGGAGCTAGAGTATGTTGAAAAAATACGTAAAATAAGAGGTTGCATAATCTTGTTCTTGCTTCATCTTTTATGGTTTTAAAAATGAGAGAAGGTGGCACTAGCCAAGAAAATGACCTGTTGTTTTACAATTATTTTAAATGCATTTATTTTTAAATAAGTGGACTAAATCTGTAGCATCCATATGAATGAGAAATCATACATTTTCTGATTAAGCAATGTGAAAATATTTAAATAGCCTAAAATGCCTCAGATAAAGGAACCCGAGTGAGTTATAAATTTTAGATTTATACCAGGGCAGGGCTCTGTAGATGCTCACTTGGCTATGAGTGAGTGACATATGTTTATCTTTTCATGTTATTAAAATTAATAGTGTAGGCCTGCTGTAAACTCTGTAGTTCCTATGTATAACTTATTTTTCCTCTCTTCTGAAAAGTTTAATTGTTAGGCTGCCAAGGGACAGAGCGACAAAGGTATAATAGCATAGCTAACAGTTTAATTACTGCCTGAAAACTTTTGTCCTTCACTTTGAATTTGCTTTTGTAGGCTTAAGGGGGACTTTTAAGGAGGCTGAACCAGGCTTGTAAACTTTAAAAATAACTTTGGGGTAACATGCGGCTGCCATACAAGTGTATGGCAGCTTTCTCCTCCAGGTTACACATTCAAGTGAGTCACAAGCCACCAAAAGCTGGAAGTCGTTAACATATGAAGGCTGTTGGTGGCCTCTGAAAAGGAGATGGTGGAGACAGAACAGTTTCTAATGGACAGGTGCATCTATCCCAGAAACCTGTGCTTCAGGCACTAATTGGCCTATCCTAGTTTTTCCAAGATGTCAGATTTTGATACAGGCAGTTTGTTCTGTGCATTTTGGAAGGAAAAATTGACAAAGCCTAGAGGATGAGATTGAGAAGGAGAGTATTTAGAGTGATGTGATTTGACGATTGAAAGATGAGGCTACCGGAATGCCTGGGTGGCTCAGCAGTTGAGAATCTGCCTTCGGCCCAGGGTGTGATCCTGGAGTCCCAGGATGGAGTTCCACACCAAGCTCCCTGCAGGGAGCCTGCTTCTCTCTCTGCCTGTGTCTCTGCCTTTCTCTGTGTGTGTGTTTTTAAAAGAAGAAAGAGGGATCCCTGGGTGGCGCAGCGGTTTGGCGCCTGCCTTTGGCCCAGGGCACGATCCTGGAGACCTGGGATCGAATCCCACGTCGGGCTCCCGGTGCATGGAGCCTGCTTCTCCCTCTGCCTGTGTCTCTGCCTCTCTCTCTCTCTCTCTCTCTGTGACTATCATAAATAAATAAAAATTAAAAAAAATAAAAGAAGAAAGAAAAAGAAAGAAAGAGAAAGAAAAAGAAAGAAAGAGAAAGAAAGAAAGAAAGAAAGAGAAAGAAAGAAAGAAAGAAAGAAAGAAAGAAAGAAAGAAAGAAAGAAAGAAAGAAAGAGGCTACCATCTTAGACTAAATTAAGAGAACTTTGGCAAGCCCAGTAGCAAGTCCAAGAGATGATTAGTCGTAGACACCAAAGGCTAGCATCTGAACTGAGCCATCTGGTCTTATAATAACCAGATCTGTTTATAAAGTAACGCTGTAAGAAGTAGACATTACTACCCATGAATTTCATGATTAGTCAATGTCACTTCAGAGGTCAAATCCCAGAATTTTTCTATCAAGCTAAATTTAATTATAACAGAAGAAATAAATTATTAAGATTTCATCAGAGAAAAAAATTCTTTCAAATATATGTTGTTTTCTTTACAGGGCAGAAATATCCTGAAGTATTGATGCTCAATATATTTTCATTTTCAAGACTGCATAAGACCAGTTATTACAATAGCAGCTTCTATTAATGAGTTAGGTAAGATTTCAGCTTCTATGTTTACATAGATGTCTTTTGATGAAAGATAAGCTTTAGGTAGATGTGAATGTTCTTTAATCATTGATTTCCTGTATAAATCTGAATACTCAAGAGAGTGTACCCCCAAACTTCATTTCATTATTGTTCTGAACATGTATATTTCCAACACTTCCCATTTCCTCTTTATTAAAATGAACATTGGGATCTAAGATTTAAATATTCTTTCACTGAAGATGATCTCATATTTTATGTGGTTAAGGAAACCTTTTCTAGTTTTAACCTGTGAAGTAATAGTATTGAAATCAGCTTTGATTTCACTGATAGGTTGGCATGGATTGAAATAAGCTAGGCAGTTGTGCTTTGGATTGGGACCCTGAAATCTTAGGTTAGTTCATGGGTTGAAATGAAATGAGCTCCTTTTCTCATAGGGATGTTGTTGGGTTTAATTGGACAACTTGAATTGGAAGGATCATAATTGTTTAAAGAAAAGCTTATATTATCTTAATATTGTTTAGTAAAGCTTATATTATCTTAATATTGTTTAGTAAAGGGTTCAAAATATTTTTAAATAAACCTGATTTCAACTTAGCAGAGTGTCTTCTTTCAAATTTTTTTTTTATTTATGATAGTCACACAGGGAGAGAGAGAGAGAGGCAGAGACACAGGCAGAGGAAGAAGCAGGCTCCATGCACCCGGAGCCCAACATGGGACTTGATCCCAGGTCTCCAAGATCGCGCCCTGGGCCAAAGGCAGGCGCCAAACCGCTGCGCCACCCAGGGATTCCCAAGTGTCTTCTTTCAAAAGGCATATTTGTTTGGAGAGCAAAGAGCGGACTGATAACTTCCAGCAAACACAGAACAGATTATCTTGAATGTTAATCATAGGAAGTAAAATTTGCTTCTTTGTTGTTTATCTTTATTTTTAAAATGGTCATATTACACTAATGAAAACTCAAAGTAGTAGTATTATAGGTGTCTATAATATGTACTTAGGTATAATGATGGGTGTGATCCTGTAGTCCGCATCGGGCTCCCTCCATGGAGCCTGCTTCCTCCTCTGCCTGTGTCTCTGCCTCTCTCTCCTGTGTCTCTCATGAATAAGTAAATAATAAAAATCTTAGAAGAAAAAAATTTGATTACTGAACAAAAACAAAAATCAAATACTTATGCTTCAGAAAAATGAATGTATATTTTAATGTAATTATTCATAAAGTATTCTGAAAATAACATGGACTTTTATCAGATTAATTTGATAAAATTGAAAAAATTTAAAGTAACCAAGTGAAAAAAATACAAAGTTGTTTAAGACTGATAATTTCTCCACTTTGAGGAATAAAGAATTGGCAGAAATGTGAAACTTGATGACAATTCGGAGGTGAGGTGAAGGGAACTGTTGGATCTTTTATTTTTCTTTATTTGGTTAAAAACAACCTTTGTACAGATTGCAAAAGAAAAACAACTGGTGGGACAGTAAAATTATAGCTGCTTCTTTGGATGCAATTGAAAGTTTAATGATTGCTCTTTGCAGTTTCACACGTTAAGGTAATTCTCTTCTGGCTACAACTTGGGGGCCTGTAAGTCTATCACTATGGAGGTTCGAGAGGGGATCCACTCTTGCCTGGGATCAGTGAACCTCTTTCCCACTTACGCTCTCTCTGTGGGCGAGTGTGGAGCTGTGGCCAGAAGTAAGAGAAAGTTTAGGGTAGTGTGTCATTCCTATTGGAAACCATTTTTCACAAATCAGGACAGTTTGTAATAATACAATCATTTGTCGACTCCCTGGGAAGAGTTGACCTTGAAGAATTAACATCAGCAATAGGCTCTCATGGGTTGCAGTGGATAGCTAGTCACTGTGCCTTATTTCTCCACTTTCCACCCCACAACACTGTGGAGCTCTAAATGCCATGGGATGGGGCAAATCAACCATTTTGTCCCTTATAGATTCACCATAGATCATGAGAAACAACAGTAGTTTCTAATGAGTTCCTTAGACTCTTCAGGGCAGAACAATGGTGTGTTTTGCCCATCTGTGTCCTATTTTCTTGAGCAGGGGTAATGATGAGGTTGAAAAACCACTTAAATGTTAACTCCTACCCCTGTTTCCTCTGATTTTTTTTTCTTTCCTATGCACAACTCTCTTTAAGATTTGCTTTAGAACGGAACTGTCACATGCTTGATTTAAGCCCCAGGGGTAAGTTTAATTTGGAAAATTTGAGCTATGTCACTTGAGGTGTTTTTGAATTAGGCAAATTGGGAGAAAAGAAAGACCTTTTGCCTGGACTGTCTAGCTGCACCGTGGTTAATTACGAGATGCAGAGCCTCATAACCTTTGGGGGAAAGTCCGCCTTAGGATAATTGCATTTTTCTCTGTATGACCTCAAGTCCCTGTGTGATGTTGCCTCACTTTTATTTAATACTGAATTGTCTAACAATTGGGATGTAGATTTGGACTCTGATGGAGTTACATCAAGTAGTAGCATCAGGGAAGGAGACTTGTTTCCAGAGGAGCACCTTACTGCCTGTGCGTTTTATGTGACCTGACAACCTAAAGATTTATTTACCAGGGCAGTCTTAGCCCAGAATTTGCTGCACTTTTTATCCAAGGAAGGGTTAAGATTCAGCAGGGTCGGGGGGGGGGGGAATACATTTCACACAAAAATGAAGAGTTCAGAATTGTCCAGACCAGAATAATGATTTTAATTGTCTTCAAAACAATTATGTTCAATTACATTAAGTCTCAAATTAGCTAGTACATGAAGTTCTTCATTACATCAGGACTAGTCCACCCCCAGATGTTCATCCTGCGTAGGAGACAGTTGACAATCGGAGGGTCTGGACACAGTATTTCTCCCTTCCCTTGCCCTTTTGCTTCATTGGCAGCTACTGTACCTCATGATTTAAACATGGACATTTCTAATTAAATGAGAGCTCAGCTGCATTCTTAAACTAATTTATAACATTTGATTTGAAATGTAATAGCTTCAATCTTCATCTGATTAAAAACAGTCATATACTGTATATGGTTACTATTTTGATGCTGCAACATGCAGTTTTTATTTTTACATTCCCCTTTCTACACAGCTGTTCATCTAATATCATCCAATTTTTTTAAGTTTTTTTTTTTTTTTTTGGTTGTTGTTGTAACAGCATGCTCAGGCATTCTTATGAGGTAGAAGTATTCAAATTCTAGGACTCTACTGTTCTCAGAACAGTGAAGGGATGTTTTTCGCTTAGGGTAATCCCTTCTCACGGAAATCAACTTTAGGATAATACGTTAACTAACTTTCTTTGGGAAGAAGGGCAATGGAGAACATTCTAGTGACATGAAAAATAATTAATGTTAATATGTGTAATTCATGTATGCTTTATATGCAAATATCCTGAATAATATATTTCAGAACTTTTTTATAGCAACTGTAAGCTTGCTTTTAACTTAAGGAATGGTTTCTGAAAGTGGGGTTCAAAATTGATGTTCAGAGGCCTTATAAATAATGTCAAAATCATTTGCAAGTTTTATGCATGTTCATTTGTGTATACACACATATGCACAAACACATGTAATTGTGCATCTAATTTTAGTTTAAGAACTTTTAGGATAATGGGCACAGCCATACAGAGGCTCAGTTGTGAGAGCACTGTGAGTTTGAGGACTTGCAAAGGATGTCAGTGTAGCTGGCTGGAACTTAAAGATGGGTTGGAATGAGAGAGGCATTCCTGGGCATGTTAAAAAAAAAATGAAGCCTCAGAGGTAATTAGAGGTCAGAGCATGAAGTCCTATATTGCAAGTTGAGGAGTTTAAACCTTATACTAAAGGCACTGGGAACCATAGAAGAGTTTTAAGCAAGAGAGTGGTATGATCAACTTTGAATTTTAGAAGCTTACTCTGCCTACATATTAGAGGATGGACTGGAAGCAGGCAAACCAGTTTGGAAAGGTGATGGTGCCTTAGGTAATACAGTGGAGAGAATGGACAGAAACCATAGGATGTTGGGGGTGGAAACAAAGCAGTGGTATGAAAGTGTCATCACTTACAAATGATGGAAGAAAGGGGATTTGGGGGGAAAGAAAGTGAATACTTTTTTACATGCTGCCACTTGGCAATTAGATATAAAATGGAGAACTAGGGGACACAGAGATCTAGTCTCTATTTATTTAAAGCTTACACTTTTCCAAAAATGTTTTGGACTTCGGTTTTCATTTTCAATAAAAACCACATTTGATCTGTTAGGCTCTCTTTCATTTTTATCTGTATTATGTCTCTATAATTTTTCTTTCCTCCCTTTTCCCCTTCCTCCCTGTGTCCTTCCCTCTCTCCTCTCTCTCTTCTGTCCTCCTTCCTTTCCTCCTTTTTCCTCTTTGTTATTATCCAAGTGATACACACATGTGGCTGAAAGCTGACTATTTCACAGGGTTCCCAAAACTCTAAGAACCTACATAACTCCTCTTTCTCTATCACTTTAACTTGCTTCTTCCCAAAGCCAAGTGCTTTCAGCCCTTTGGCCTTATCATATAGGATTCAACTCCAGATATCTAAATGCCAACTCATATTGGTGCTTTCTTGGTTTTTCAGTTTTAGGCATTGTCTGTTGACTTCTCCCTGCAGAAGGTGAGGATTTCTCTTCCTTTTACCACTCACCCCACCCCCAACATACACACACTCACACACTCTTCCTAATCTTCCCTCTTCCCCATACAATTATGTCAAAATTTGGATAAACATTTAATGGCTACATTATTATAGCTATGTAAACATTATTCACAATGAAGTATTCAGAATGTTGTTTTCATTTTACCCTTTCTGCACAACTTTTTCTTTTGGCTGGAATTGATCATTATATTTTTGATTGTTTATTGACCTAGTTTTTTATATACACTCAATGGTTTAACCCCAACCTCTCTGTTAATAATGACATCTCTCCACACATGTAGATTGATAGAACATTCAATATATGGAATGTTCTGTTTAATCTCCATAAGGAGCTGTCTTCTAGACCTTTCTGA